CTACCTAGCATCATAGCGATTTCGACGCTTTTGTATCCCCAAAAATTAAACTTCATTTGGGTTTTTTTTTTGGCCGTTCAAACTTTCAATCAATTCTAGCAAAAGTTTATAAGGCGTGCCAAACTATTTCTTCGGAACTTTGCGAATCAAAAAATTCGAACCTATCCGAGCCAATACTTTTCAACTTCTGAAGACACCAAGCATTGACAATGTTGCTCTACTTGGTCTTAATTTTGGCATAAGATATCGTTTCTGTACTATGATCCAACTTTCGGCACTGCACGGAATGCTTTAAATAATGAAAGTGGACAGTGAAGTCATTGGACATAAAGCATCCTTCCGCACTTCACATTTGGTGAGATGTATGTGCTGATGAGCTTATTTGAGAAAGACTCAATTTATTGGATGGCATACTCCCCTCATATATCGGATTTTTATCTGATAATATAAAGCTAACATTTTATTAAAATAAATTGATTTTGTCCATATTCGACCCCTTCAAGTAAAGTTCTTCTTCATTGAGTTCTTGCTCAACTATATCCGAATCCATACTTTCTAGGTTCGGCACTGCCATGGTTCGTCATGGTGGACTTCTACATTTGAATCAGAAACAGTTCGCTGAAGACTTTGGACCGATTGAGAAAGACTGCGACTGCCATACTTGCCGAACTTACACCAGAGCTTATATACACATGGTTATGAATAAGGTAATATGTTTCTCCTTTTGTCCCCCGCATTTTCAATTCCCATTGGAGTACAATTCGTATCTATTAAGTTATCCAGAAAATTTTACGCGTTTTTGACGCATTTACACACACAGCACGCACACACACCTACAAATACACACACAACACACACTTTACGCACATACACATACCTACACACATGCACACACAACACACACACCTCTACACACATACATATAGCCATGCACATCTCAGCTCAATGCAGTTTCTCCAGTTGGTTCTGGAATCATATTCTGCAAACCTTTGCCAATTATATGCGACTTCGCCTAAACCGCTAGTATGTTGATAGTTCATTTTAGAAACAAGAGGTTATTGGACTCTGACTTACTATGGGTTTGTTTCTGAGTTATTTCTTATGCAGAAAGTTGTCGAGAAGCTCCGCGGCAATGATTGCTGGTTAGCAAGAAACTGGAAGAAAAATTTTATTGACTATTTCATTCAATTCTGCAGGGTCGAGTCTGAAACTTGTTGTCTTTTGCAGTCATGCAAATGACTATGAAAAACAAACTTTAGCGTAGTAAACTTTTCGCATCTATCTGCCGAATCTCTCATAATCTCATCATTAATTCATTATGCATTTGCCACTGCCATCGCCTGCATTTGGAGTTGTTTAAGTTAGTGCACGAGTGAGGTTATAAA